CATCACATATTATAAATGGGAAGAGGCATTCACCATATTGGTAGTAACCAGAGGAAAAATATAATGCATGCATGTGTGAGCATGTCAGATAGGAGTGAATGGAGACGAATGATTTTTGGGACTTGATGAGCTGTTAGTGTGAGCAAGGTAATATTTTGTGAAGGGATTCAGGGAAACCAGTTACACGGACTTGAGTCCTGGAGTGGGAAGTACAGTGGACCCCCGGTTAACGATATTTTTTCACTCAAGAAGTATGTTCAGGTGCCAGTACTGACCGAATTTGTTCCCATAAGAAATATTGTGAAGTAGATTAGTCCATTTCAGACCCCCAAACATACATGTACAAACGCACTTACATAAATACACTTACATAATTGGTCGCATTCGGAGGTAATCGTTATGCGGGGGTCCACTGTACAATGCCTACACTCTAAAGGAGGGGTTTGGGATATGTGATGTTTAGTATGACGTCTAAGCTGTTGTATCTGCATGCCTCTGGCAAGACAGTGATTGTGTAAATGAAAACGAAAGTGTTTCTTTTTTAGGTACCCTGCTTTGGTGAGAGACAGCTAGTGTCTTAAAAAAAAAAATTTATGTAGCTCATAATTATTCTTCGCCGCTTCGCCTCCTGAGGAAATAGTCCGGTCTTCAGTAGTAGCAAAAATTATTAAGTTGGAGCTAAGGCTACCAGAAAGTACATATTTATTTTTATTTTTATTTAGTAATTTTAGCATACATACAGAGGTACAAAAAAATACAGGTAAGAGCAGCATGCCAAAGCCACTTATATGCATAGCATTACGGGCTGGCTTAAAATTAACTTAAGATTAACTAAGCAATGATGAAATCAGTGATAAAACATTATTGTAAACAGATAACTATAAAGCACAAATGAGTATTACAAAGACAGGTCTAATGGTTCACAAGCATTGCCTACCCTTCAGTTGTGGAATAGAGTACAGTGTCCCTCTTAACATAATGAATAAACGATCACCTATCACAAAGCTAACAGGGGAAAATTCTTAGAATCCACCTTGATAATAGACTCAAATTTCATACACATATACAACAAATTTTCTAAGAAAATTTCCAAGACTGTAGCATACATCGAAGAACGGGGACTATGTTCCCATCAGCCCTCCTGGCCCCATATCACTCTCTTTTACCCCACTCACCTTGGAATTTGTGCATGGGGGTCAACAACAGTTAAAAAACTCAGACCACTAATTACCCAAAAAAAGGCGAGTTAAAATGAAACAAATTCCACTTTCAGGCGCACATCCACCAATTTCAATACACTAAACCTACTCACCAACAAACACCAACTTTTTACTGCACCTATACATACATAGAACACTTAACTCGAATTAACCCTCCCCCCTCAAACATCTCCTTGCCACCCAACAGAACACATGACCATAACACAAGGCCAGACACTCTTTGATGTTCCCCCGTGTTCATCTCCACTATCAAAAATCAATGCACAAAAAGGCCCAAAAAACGGAATTCATTACCTGTAAAAATAAAAGAAAAACTACCTGTTTATAAATTCAAGTCTCTACTCAAAGATCACTTACTCACCCAAAACCAAATAAATACTGAATAACTGAACCTTATAAATTGTATATCTTAAATGTTTCTCACAATTATATCACATAAATGTTAAACCTAAAACCCAATCTAACTTTATTATTTTTTAAATACACTACCTAACAGAATCCTTCATATGACCTGTCTTTGTAATACTCACTTGTGCTTTATAGTAATCTGTTTACATTAATGTTTTATCACTGACTTCATCATTGCTTAATTAATCTTAAGTTAATTTTAAGCCAGCCCGTAATGCTATGCATAGTATAAAGTGGCTTTGGCATACTGCTCTTATCTGTATTTTTTTGTACCTCTGTATGTGTGCACAAATTTATAATAAATAAATAAATAAATAAATAAATGGTTGCATGCATTGCTGTACATTCAGTCGAATGGAGTATTCTGTTAGGTAGTGTATTTAAAAAAATAACAAAGTTAGATTGGGTCCTAGGTTTAACATTTGTGTGATATAATTGTGAGTAACATATAGGATATACAATTTATAAGGTTCAGTTATTCAGTATTTATTTGGTTTTGAGTGAGTAAGTGATCTTTGAGAAGAGACTTGAATTTATAAACAGGTAGTGTTTCTTTTATATTTACAGGTAATGAATTCCAGATTTTAGGGCCTTTTATGTGCATTGAGTTTTTGCATAGCGTGAGATGGACACGAGGAACATCAAAGAGTGATCTGTGCTTACAGACTTTGAGAGATAATAGGGCCATCACTGCCAATTACAGGGTAATGAATCAGATAAAAAGTGGGAGTTCTTCACAGTTGGTCTTCGCTGATGACATAGTTCTTTTGGGAGGCTCTGAAGAAAAGTTGCAGAGGGTAGTGGATAACTTTGGGAGGGTAGATAAACAAAAGAAAATAAAAGTGAACATAGAAAGTACAAAATGATGAGAGGAAAGATTGGATTTCAGATTGGAGGAAGGAAGTGTAGAGGAAGTAAATGTATTCAAATATTTGGGAGTGGACATGTTGGCAAATGGAAAATAAGGGGGTTGGGAAAATAAGGTAGGAGATATGTTAAGGTATCTGTGGAAAGGAGTTTATTTATAAGAAAAACTAAAATAGATCAGACTATAGTGGTACCATCACTTTTAAATGGGTGTGAGCCAAGGGTTCTAAACATTGCAGCAAGGAGGCCAGATGGTCATTTTTTTTTTTTAGGTCACCCTGCTTTGGTGGGTTGGTTGCTGCTGAATTATAAAACATTCTTAGTATCATGGTGATTGCAATGTTCTGTTAATGCTTTAACCAATATTAAGATACATGGGACACCCAAGAGGTAGTGGTTTTAGCAAGAGGTTGTGATGAGATGTAGAAGTAAATTCCTAAAGACTGTCACAAAAGAAAATATTAACTGGACTTTTAAATCCAAACCACAGGCATTAATCACACCAGGCTCTGTTACTTGCTCCTGAGAAGGTGAACCACTAGTCTAATTGTATTCATCAAACTTACTCTACATCCTTATGGTACCATTATTGTTTTTATTACTGATGTGTGATGTGCTTAATTTTAGTGCTGACTTGGTGATGTATATTAAAATGCAATAAATGTCTAATTACAAAAATACTTTGTTTCAGAACAATTTGAAAGTTCTTTCATGATTAATTATTAAGCTATGTAATCCATTTAATTCTTCATGAATTGTAAATTAAATCTGAAATGGTAATTTGCAGGACCTTCTTGTCTTTGTTAATTCATTTAAATGTTAATATTTTTAAATTTGTTATAATACAATAAACCCTCTCATAATGTTGGGGGACAGAGGTGAGGTTAGGTTAGGTTAGGTTAGGTAAGGATTGTTAGAAAATAGGACAAAAGTCATCCTCTTGTGAAAAATAGCATTGTGTAAGGTGAAGAACATATTGGAAAATAGGGTTACATTCTAGGCACTTCATAAACTGCCCAATAACTTTTTATGAAATACGTATCATAATAAATAAATTTTTTTTAATTTATTATTACCTTACAATCTAAGTAACATTGCTTGTTGACCTGGAAATCTGTGGAGAAGATTGACATGGCTCATCTGGGCTGAGGTGGATGACTGTTGTACTTGTGTTGATGTGAATGCAGATTTATTAGTAATTGATGAATGGATTGGAGTGGTCAAGTACGTATTCTGTAATGTTAAGAGAGACATGTGAACATAAACTAGGACATATTTATTTAAAAATTATTTTGGTCCTGGGACCGCAATCACATAACATACACATGGTTGAGAACAACAACAAATATAGGTAAAAATGTGAGGTATCATAGTTGAGTGATGTCCTGGGTGATGTTTGGAATTCATTGCCAGTGAATACCAAAGGAACCCTGTCTGTAAATCAATTCAAGACTCTTCTTAAAAGTCACCTACTCACCCAGAACTAAATACTCCGTACTTAACCTTAGCAAATCACTCTCCACCGCCTCAGATTACAATTGCTCACTGTGTTACTCCTCTAGCCTCAGAACCCCAAAAGTAAATGCTCAGAGTACAATAAATTCTCATTTTAATGCAAATATTATAATGCACATGTTGAATAACATATTTGACCTAAGTATAACCTTTTGTATAATTAGTGCAACCTAATCCAACTATGTTTTGTATGTCTAATGTTAAGTAATCAGCAATCTGTTAAGGTTAGACTGCCCGTAATGCCAAGGCATGGTAGTGGCTCTCTTTGCACTACAAATTGTAAACCCTCACTGTAAACTATCTATGTATATATACTCCCTACAATATGTCAATCACATAGTAAACTAGCTAAGAAATAAAAAATCTAAATCTAAATCTATACTAGTGGGGTTCGAGATGGCATCAGGTTCCTAGTGAGGTTACATGTGAGGTGGTTGGGGGTTTAACCTGGTTGAATATTAAGTGTGCCAGTGTTTTGATATATTGTGGTTTCCAACTGTTTGATATACAGTTTTTGAGACAGTGATTAATGAGGCTTCCAGGCATTTTCGGCACTTAAGGTTAGGTTCTGCGCACTTCATTGTATGTTCCTTAGGGTATCTTTGTAGGACTGAAGCATCGCTTACATTGCCCCTGTTGCTAACAGTCTAGGTGATTGTATGTGGTATTGGTGACAGTCCAAGAGGAAAAGTGCTGTGATTCCTTTCAACACAATGGAACTTCCCTTCCATAGGCCAGACTTGGAGGGTAAAAAATCCCAGCTTATGGAGTGTTATATCAAGGGTTTCCTCATACTATGAAAGAAATGTTTTAACTTTAATAGCATTCAGCTAAAATTGTTGTAGTACTCTTGCATTATGAGAAGGTTTACTGTAGCATTGTAACATGATAACCATTCTGTCTTTAAATTATTTTATTTTTAAAACCTGTTCTCTGGCAAAATCATATGTAGTTGACTACTTAATACATATATTATTTCTTTTTATTAAGAATTGTCAAGTTGTGATAAGGGAACCTTATCGAGATGGACAGGTGACTACATGGACCGGCCTAGGCTTCATGCGAGTGTTTGAGGGCTCCTATCTTGAGTTTGAGATTGAAAACATTGAAACAGACATGGAATATGATCTTGTAATTCGCTATGAACCTCAGGTAAATTGTCATTTTACTTGTTGTTTACTGATAAACTAATGAAAAAAATGTCATAGGAATTTGTAGAGAACATATGATGACTTCAGCCATTTATAGACTCCAGTTCCTATGATAATTGACTGTATATCTGATACTTCGTGCTATCCCACATACTTTGAGGGAGAGATCTCCACAGAGTGGACAGTGTTTCCTGTTTTACTGGCCAGCTGTGTACTCTATTTATGGTCATGTAATATTGTACTCATAAAGTTGTATCATCTTATAGATAAATTACTTCTGTTTTTACAACTAGAATAAAGCACTCTGCCATGTTATATTTTTTTTTTCCACAGCCATCATGTGGAACAAATTAGTAACCTATGTTTTTGAAATTGAGACACATGTGCAACATCAGGGTATCTTTATTGTAGACGTTTTGCCATCCAGTGGCTTTATCAATACAAATTCCAGGACATAACTTGAAGACAGGAGAACTATTTACAGAAGATGAGGTAATCAGTCCCTCAACCTAGCAGTAGGTGCGAAGAGCACCGTAGTCGTGGAGATTCTGAAGCAGAAGCAAGTAACGTCAGGTGGAACGTCAGGTGGAAATGGGACAGGTAGCAGACGAGGGCATAGTCACTGGTAGGCGGGATTCCCCAGTGGAAGTAGGTCCTACCCAAAGAGATGGGTTAGTTGTAGTTGTCGTAGTCGTGAAGGCTATGTACATGTCCTCAAAACATGTACATAGCCTTCACGACTACGACAACTACTACTACAACTAACCCATCTCTTTGGGTAGGACCTACTTCCACTGGGGAATCCCGCCTACCAGTGACTATGCCCTCGTCTGCTACCTGTCCCATTTCCACCTGACGTTCCACCTGACGTTACTTGCTTCTGCTTCAGAATCTCCACGACTACGGTGCTCTTCGCACCTACTGCTAGGTTGAGGGACTGATTACCTCATCTTCTGTATATAGTTCTCCTGTCTTCAAGTTATGTCCTGGAATTTGTATTGATAAAGCCACTGGATGGCGAAACGTCTACAATAAAGATACCCAGATGTTGCACATGTGTCTCAATTTCATCTTGTCGGTACTGTATACCATTCTTGTACAACCTATGTTTTTCATGACACCTTAAATGTCCTTTCTTTCAAGTAACCTCTGTAGGGCTATCCTTTAGATTATTTTTCCAGTCTTTTTTTTTCTCTATTTTTCTTTGTTGGCACAATTCAGCAAGCAACCTTACTTGCTTATTAGCCATGACAGTCAGTCTGCTGTTACCTTAAGCTAACCAGGTGAGCACAAGTAGGATATGGTCTGTACTTAGCAGATGGAAGATTGAGCCTGCAACTTATCTTACACTGAATTATCCAATCTTGTTTGGCACTTCACATGTATATAAGTATAAAATAAAAAAGTTTCCACCTAAGCTACCTGGTTGTTCACACCTAGCTCTTTAGCATTATGTTTTATTGTTTTTTTTATCTTTTATTTATTGTATGTACAGTATATCTTATAAAACCTTGTTATCAGTGTTTAATTTTCAACAGTTTCGTGGAGATTGGGAAAATGTTATGGTGACCATTGAGCGTCCTGAACCTATTGATGCCAATGGACCCTGTGGAAATAGTCGGCCAATAGATGACCAGATAATAGTTAGTCTGCCAGACAGTATGTACATAATTAAATTGTTTGTCAAATATAATAAGGCTAGATTTACATGAATATGTGTCAAGTCATAATGAAATAAATTTCCTTGCCAGAAAGTAAGCTTAATACAAAATGATTCAAATGAAGCTTTTTATAAGTTCCCAGACTGTTTGAATACTTGGACATCTTCCTTCACACTTCCTTCCCTCACCCCACTTATTTACTTCCTCTCACAAAATATCCCCCATCCTTCATCTCACTCCCTCCCTGTCTTGCTACCTTTCTCATCATATCTTTTCCTTCCCCCCACTTCCTTTTTCCCCAATCATCCTCACTCTTTTTTCATCTCTTTGTTCTACCTCCACTGTCATCCTATTTCCTCCCACCCTCCTCCTTTCTTTTCCATTCCTTCCCTTTATCTCCTCAGAGATATAATCCCAGAGTTCATTCAACACTTTGTAATTCTTGGAAATAAATTTTGACTTTGAGTTGACCTTCTCTTCCTCCCCTTCTCTTTTCTTCATTCTCCTGCTCTTCCTCTCTCCCTCCCACTTCCTTCTTTCCTCTTCTTCATTTACTCCAATTTCCTTTTTTCACCCTCCACATCTACTCGTCTCCCTTACCTCTACTCTTTTACGCTTTCTCTGTTTCCTCTCCCATTCCGTCCATTCTTACTTGCCCACACTTTTTGTGACTGTTTTGTGTTTACGTTAATTTGTACCATAATTACTTTGCATCTTGTATTAAAAATTAGCAAGGTAAATGCTCCAGTGCCAGCAAATATTAATAAGACAATTGCAGTTGTGTGTAAGGGGACTAAAATACAGTGGAGCCCCACCTTACGATATAATTTCATTCCAGAAGTATGTTCAGGTGCCGTTATCGAACGAATTTGTTCCCATAAGGAATATTGTGAATTAGATTAGTCCGTTTCAGACCCCCAAAAATACACGTACAAAAGCACTTACATAAATACACTTACACAATTGGTCGCATTGGAAGCTGATCGTTAGGCGGGGGTCCACTGTATATATTATGGTGATACATAGTACTAGCTGACCTTCTTGTGCTTAATTCATATTGCTTTCTGATTATTAATCTCTATGCTGTGTATGACTGGAATGCTAGTTACTTTATCATTTAACCCTTTGAGGGTTCATCCTGTAGTTCTATGGCCTTGAAACCAGGGTCCAAGCCATAGTATTATGTCATGAGCTCAGCTCACTCAGATAAGCTGTGAGCAGTAAATTTGGGCCTAGATATGAGAGAATGCATCTATGTGGTAAGTGTGCACCATGTAAAACAAATCCTGCACCACACAGTGCGTAATAATAAAAAAACTGCGACCGTTTTTTGGATTAAAACAGTGAATTTGTGGTGTATTTTCGTACGGTTTTTACATTTGTATTCACAGTTTCTTGGTCTCATTTGATAGAATGGAAGATATATTACAGAAATAGAGATGATTTTGGTTGGTTTTTATTACTGAAAATAGCTTGAAATTGAGCTCAAAATAGTGGAAATGTTCGATTTTTGCCAATGTTCTAGAGTAAACAAATCGCATCAAGCGTCCAATACACATCAGCTGGTGGGTCTGATATGCATTCCTGAATGCCCTGATATTATTTATACAATTATTACAATATTGCATAACAGTAAAACTTCTATTTTTTTTGGTGTGAATAATAATTCTTTATGTGAATAAAAAATTAAAATGGAATTCATCTGTAAGGCCTGGAAACATAACTGATAAATAAAGGAAATGTTATTTTAGTGCCAGGAATGCCTTCATTGTTTTTTGGGACCCTATTTTGAAAATGGAATATTTTGAACTTTGTATGAAATTGGCCAAATTATCAATTTCTGATCACTTTATTGAGTAGTTCAAATAGATGACTGGGCAATTTCTTGTGCTCAGTAGATAAAATGGAACACATACTAGCAAAATAGCTAAGAATTTGGTCTAATGGAACAGTGTAATTGGCCGAAAATAGGACTCACAGTGAGCAAAATTGCCCATGGGTAAATATCGCTGACACAACAAAATTCATGGGAGTGTAATTTCATCAATTCTTGATCAAATTTCGTATTTTTTTGTCTTGCTACCTTCAAAAAAGATTCTCGACCATTTCATAAGTTTTTTTTTTTTTTTTACCCTTTGGGGAATTTTTAGATTAGGGGTCTGGACCCTCAAAGGGTTAAACACTATATTAAGGCTATTAAATATAGCAATTGAATTTGTTGTATATATATATTAAATTTTTTTTTTTTTTTTTTTTTTTTTGCTTTTTTCCTTATGTGCAATATAAATCAATGTAATTTTATTTTAAACAATATTTTTATCTGACCTCTATTGCTCATAATTTTCTTTTCTTACACTTATCCTTATCAGAACATAAAGGACTTATGACACGTGCTTAAATTGTCAAGACCTTTTCATAAGAATTATTAAGTTTTTGCCACAGGTCGCCGGCAAGTGACGTTATTTCCACCAGTGTGTTTGGAGGCTGGGAAACGGTACAAAGTACGTGTCGACTTTAGACGCTCCAATGCTCGCACAGATTCTCCATCTGCATCAGTTCTTGTTGACTCTGTAAGTGTACAATTATTGACAAATCATGTTAGATAATTTCTTTTTCCATCACTGGAAATTTTAGAGAAAATTTTCAGTTCAAGGACTTAGAGCTACCTTTCCCATCCTTGGATTAAACCTGATTACCTCTTATCCCCTAGGTGCAATCAGAACCTTACAGGTTTAGAACTTCCCCAGCATTGGGTTTTGGCAGAAGGAGCCTGTGTATTTTTTTATTTTGCCCTTCACAAAGAACATTATTTCTGTAAATAGTGCATTTGACAATTTAAATAAGTAAATGAAGAGATAAAAGGTGAGAGGTGCAGTGACTGCACTGAAGTTGGAGTGAGAATGTTCACTCTCGAGGATCATCTGACCTGTGATGTCAGCACACTTCTGACGAAACAGCGATCTAATGAATGATGGCGAATGTGTTTCCATATACAATGGAACCTTGATGTACGAGTTTAATCTGTTCTGTGACCTAACTCGTAACTTAGTTTGCTCATATATCAAATCAATTTTTCTCATTTAAATTAACTGAATAGCCATTAATCCGTTCCTGCACTCTGGAGGCAAGAAAAAATACTTGAATATGACTCTGTTTTCAACTGTATGCCTTATTTATCTATCACAATTCATGTAATATGACAAAAACAGCATAATTAACACAGAAACATGATATATACTCTAGAATGAATAAAATAGGCCATAATATGGTGGCAGCGGCAAAAGCGTCCACCATTTCCTGTCCCACTTTGACTATAGTATGTGTTCCCATGCTCTTATTGTAAGAGAAAACAGAGTATTTTTGAGGCTAACTGCAGTAGATCACTAGTTTTCTAAGTAAAACACTGAAACAATGTATTTATAAATAAGAAATATCGTATATAAAAACATAATAAGTTATAATACACTACAGAATGTAAAGAAATATTAAACTTTATATATAAAGTGTATATGTACTTACACACTTGGAGCAGAGATGGTGGGGGAGGTTGAGGGTGGGGGATGTTGAGGGTGCGGCGTATGATGTCAGTGGCTCTGTAAACCTCCAACAACAACAACATTGTTTTGTTTGATTGCTGAACTTAACTGATACAATTTGTTTTGTAAAGTAAAAGGACACAAGTGCAACTAATGTGACATTTATTGTGGCAACGTTTCACTCTCCAGGAGCTTTATCAAGCCATTACAAACAATACATGGACACAGAGGGTATATAAAGGCTCAGAGTGAGGTGCAATACTAGTGAGGTACCATTTCGATGTTCACTAGTGGTAGTAGTAGTAGTAGTGGTAGTGACAAAAGTAATACAATATGGTAGAGCAATTAATTCGTACATGTATTGTTTGTAATGGCTTGATAAAGCTCCTGGAGAGCGAAACGTTGCCACAATAAATGTCACATTAGTTGCACTTGTGTCCTTTTACTTTACATATTGTCGGTAATTCTACCAACTTTATTACAATTTGTTTTGTTTAATCACTGAACTTAACCGATACAACTTGTTCTGTTTAATCACTGAACATAACTAATACAGCTTTAATATCTACATATCGTAGATGTACTGGCTAAGTCTATGGAACTCATCCTCTTTTTCTTCTCAGCACTGTCCTTTGCATTTATTTTCTTAGGACCCATGGTTAGAAAAAAGAAATTTGGACAAATGACTACAAAAAAGTTCAGGCAAGCACGAAAGAACTGCTCCCACAGTGATGTAAACATGTGTACTGTTTACCGGATGTTTTGGCATCAGCTGTGCCAACTAGTGGCAGCATTCTGAGTATACCAGGAAAATTGTATGGTAGGGTTATTATTGAAAGAATTAGAGGTAAGACAGAGAGTAGGATTGCAGATGAGCAAGGAGGTTTTAGAGTGGGTAGGGGGATGTGTAGATCAAGTCAAGGTTCCACTGTATTTGGGGTTACGTCAGTGGGAGACTGTGTGAGGTTGCAAAAAATTACAATAATTTGCCACCTCTCTTTCTAGAAAATATAACATGAGTGAATCTGATTTTCTGTATTTTTTTGTATTCTGAGAAAGAAAACATTAAAACCTGAAAGAGGTTAAGAGAAAGAAAAAACAAGTTTTACCATAATCTACATAAGACAGTTTCAACATTATCAGAATACATAAAACAAGGAGATGGATAAGGACCAGCCACTAAAACTCACTCAAGCTACACTTCTTCCAATTTTTCATTCTTTATTCTTCAACACAGTACCTGCACTCTGAAGGAGAGGTAGCGGTGTTGCAATCAGAGAGTAATCTGAATTGTGATATCAGCATACAGTGACTAGATGAATTATAGTGAATTTGTTTTCTTCTTTGGATCACCCTGCCTTGATAGTATAGACACTTGCGAAGGTTCAAAAAAAAAAAAAAAAATCAGACTGCATTGATCTCAAAAAAAAAACAAAAAAAAAAAAAAACAATTGCAGTGGAACCTCGGTATGTCACCTTAATTCATTCCAGAAGGCTGTTCGAGTGCCGCTCTGTTTGAGTATCGAACAAGTTCTTCCCAACTAATTTTCTGTTTGATTGGTTGTTATCACTAATCTTCGTAGCACCCCATGGTGACTTATTTATACAAATAATACAAAAAACACCAAAAAATGCAAAGAAACACGAAATAGTTTACAGCAAAGTTCTGGCAGGTCGTATTTATTTGGTCGAGTGCTAAGCTTTGTTTGAGTAAGGAGCTGGTCGTATACCAAGATTACTCTGTAATTGCCTCCAGCTTCCTCTTTGCTGCAGTATTTGAAGAAATGACCACACCTTCCCTCAACACCCTAGCATTTATTGTTCTTACAACCTTATCTTTCTTTCTTTCCACACACCGGCTGTATCCCACCGAGGTGGGGTGGCCCAAAAGGAAAAATGAGTTTCTCCTTTTACATTTAGTAATATATACAGGAGAAGAGGTTACTAGCCCCTTGCTCCAGGCATTTTAGTTTCCTCTTATAACACGCATGGCTTACGGAGGAAGAATTCTGTTCCACTTCCCCATGGAGATAACAGGAAATAAACAAGAACAAGAACTAGTAAGAAAATAGAAGAAAACCCAGAGGGGTGTGTATATATATATATATACATATGCTTGTACATGTATGTGTAGTGTGACTTATGTGTAAGAAGTAGTAGCAAGACGTACCTGAAATCTTGCATGTTTATGAGACAGAAAAATGGACACCATCTATCCTACCATCACGTAAAACAATTACAGGCTTTCGTTTTACACTCGCTTGGCAGGACTGTAGTACCTCTCTGGGCGGTTGCTTGTCTACCAACCTACTACCTATGGCAACCCTGTGAAGGCTTACTCAGCCAGGGCTGAGTAAGGAAAATTAGTGAATAGAAAAAGAAATAATAATTCACAAAGATAAACGCTTTATTATTTATTAATGCAAAGATAAAACATTGAAATATGAAGTTGTATCCTACTTGAAAGAAAAATGAAAAATGAAATGAAAAATTGCCATTTGAATCCAACGCTAATATGTACAAGTAAACTGGGGTGTCTGGTTGATGTTGACACCGTCTTGTAGAAATTGTAGTCGATGATGATGTGGGGAGGGGGGGTGACAGGTGTTGAGTGACAACCCAACGACTAGTTCTTCACAGAGTCTATAGCCTTGAATAGTCAGTCCAGATGACAGGAATGCAGGTTCTTTACCACTACAAAGATGAGGGGTAGTGTCCTGTACAATTAATCAGGTAGGTACATTATAAGGTGACGTCCCAAGACCGTTTTCAGTCCGTCTCCTTCAACACTTCTCGTTGGTTGGCAGGTGACCCAATCTGTCATTCCAAGCTGGAAAGAGAGACAGGTTACCCACTGCTTAAGAAATCACTCTCCATGATAAGTGCAAGATACTTAAAAAAGGTGGTGATTATCGAAGTCTTATGTGGAGCTTAAAACTGAAAGGACTAAGTTTATTATTGATCAAAAGTGAAGCTTTCAACCAATATCCACTAGAATAGGAGCAGAGGTTTTTACTTACAGTTGTGCTGGGAGCTGTGAGTCGAGTGATTACTGTTTGGCTGGAACCCCACACGTCACCTTTCGGGGTGGGGAGAAAGGGAAGGGGGAGGGGATAGCGGGAGCGAGACTGACCCTACCTTAACAAGCAGCCGGCACTCAAACTATCGTTACCATATACTCGCTCGCTACTCTTATCTGTTGAACTTTTCCCTCACAAATCCTATCTATAAATACATTAAACAACCATGGTGGCATCACACATCCTTATCTGAATCCTAGCCATATTTTAAGCAAATTTTTTTTTTTGTTTCTGATACACATCCTAATGTATGCCTCACACTTTCTCGTAAAAGCTCAATACAGTTTTCAAATAAACAGTTTAAAGATTATGTATTTAATTTTTTTAGATAAAGATAATACCTATAAGCTCTTGGCCTGTAAATTAAAGTATTTAAAAAAAAAAATTAAGGAAAGAAGAGCTGTCATACAAGAGCCATACATTTATACTTTCAGATCATGTTGATTCCCAGAGCTGAAAAACTGCCATTCTATTCTGGCTCTCCTGAGGGTGATAGCCTTCGTTATGAGTACGAGAGGTATCGCTGTAGTGAAAGCTTTTATGAAGGCCAGGATCTTGCCACAGTTCCTGAAGTCTGTAAAGATAATCACCTTGACAGCATTGGCTTCTATGTTTATGGACAAGCTTTCTGTAAGATCTACCAAATTTTTTGTTATAATATTTTAGTTTTTCTAAGATTAAAGGTGTGATAGTATTTTTTATTTTTTTTGTGTATGTGTATGTGTTTTGTTTGTTTTATTCATGATGGTAATTTTTTATAGTTTGTTAATTTTATCCTTGTTGGTATGTGTGTTGTATTTTTTATTGTCAAAATTGCTGAGTGATCTTCACAGTCAAGGCACTCTTCAAATTTCATAACTAATTGCCTTCGTAAGATTAACAAGTGTAAGTACAGAGCACTGAAATTGTCACTTTAATTAATATTAATTACTGTACTAGGAGCCTGTTTTTTGTCTCAATATGGTGCTGTGGATGATGTGCATTGCACTGGTAGGTAGGTTACACACCAGTAGGTTATGACTAACAGGGGAGGCAGTTCAATATAGCATCAACCTTGGCTAGGGAGACTTTGAGAAGCAAAAGCTTCTTGTAGATAAATGGTTCAAAAAACTGACAAGTTGATAAACACTTGAGTATCTTTATTGAGGAAACGTTTTGCCACACAGTGGCTTCATCAGTCCGTACAAAAGAGAATGGTGAAGAACAGGAGGAGTTTGAGGTAATCAGTCCCTTAACCTTGAGTCAATGTAATCGGTCCATCAATCTTGAAAAGAATACAGCATATGTGTAAAGAAGTGGCTTATATACTGTAGACAGGTGAGGTGAAGCAGCTGTAGGTGGTATCTAGCTTGGCAAATCCAAATGTGGAAGTAGGTCATGCTTAAAAGTTAGGCATGTGAAGAATTCCCTGTATTAAGGTCCCAAGATGTTGCTGTGTCTGATAGAAATGTAGATACATGTAAATGGTTCAAAAAATGACAAATTGATAAATTAGACACATGTGCAACACTTCGGTACCTTTATTGAGGAAATGTTTTACCACACAGTGGCTTTATCAGTCCATACAAAGGAAAATGGTGAAAAACAGGAGTAATTTTAGGTAATCAGTCCTTCAGCCTTGTGTCGATGTAATCAGTCCACTGTGTGGCAAAACGTTTCCTCAATAAAGATACCCAAGTATTGCACATGTGTCTAATTTATCAGAAGCTTCTTGTCACTGATGGATTTATGATACAATATACTATGCCATACTACAGCAGTATTTAACTTGTTTTCACAGATAATTGAAATTTCTGGTTGGTTCTTAATGAAAATTACTTTTACAGTATTTACATGATATAGATTAAATGTTATTTTTAAGGAAGTAGTAAATGGTGTATCATATCATTTTTAATAAATCCTTTATTATAAAGAATTAGAATGCAAAATTTTTATGTAAACTATAATGGACCTTTACCTGGAACCAAAGATAAAAGAACCGAGTTGCAATTTAACTTATATTGCTCCAATAACAAATATGCAAGAAGTGTGTGCAATCTGATGAGTGCATTATTTGTTTTATAACCTGCCAGAGGGCTTCAATATTGCATCATTCAAAGAGGTGTTCTTCTTAATAAGTAAAGAAAATGGAGGATCACTAATTCTATTCCTTTTTTGAGTAATGAGGTTTTGCAGTCAAGTGATTGAAGTCATTTATACTGGACATTACTATGTGAACTTGTATTGATAAGTGCTATGACTTTGATGTCATAACTTAAATAAAATATTCCTGGCTCCTAAAGGCTCCTCACACTGCTGTCTAGGGTTATAAAATTACTCTGAAAAACACAGTAAACCTTGAGCCAGCATGTACTCACATATTTAATGATATTAATTATTATTAGGAAGGAAGGAAAAAACTCATCTCTATAAAAATATATCTAGATTAATAATAGTAACTTATATACAACTTACAATCTACTCCAAACAACCACCACACTCCATTTCACATTAGCCCACTAGCACACTGCTACTAATGAGTTAAACAAAATAAATCATCAGGGAGACTTCATTACATACACGCCCTCCTCTTCACTTCTGCCTGGTAGACTAATTACCAGCAGGCAAAACATCATACACTACTTCTCATAAACAGGCCTCTGCATACTAGGTCTGTACAAATAAACATGAGAGTACTTAAACACAAACACCTATAGTATACACTAAAAAACTTACAAAATTACCTACTCAAACTACCTCCCAAACATGATGACTTTACCCGTCACCATCTGACTCGTACTAAACTAAACACACCTCTCATCTGCTCCTGTCCTGGCCACTGCCTGACTGACAGGAATAAAACGCATTCGCTTTCAGGGAATAATACATGCCCACTTTCAGTATACTACACGGAAAATGACATTATAAAAGGAGCGTTAGTTTTTTTTTTTTTTTTTTTAACAAGTTGGCCGTCTCCCAATAAGATATGCAATAAACTCATGCTTTATATCATTACATGGTGAACAATATATTGTTACACTAGGAAAGGATATGATGTGAAAGTCTGTAAAGATGTTGATTCATTCTGTTACAGTATAACATTTAGTTGCAAAATATGTATTTTTTTAATATTAGCCATCAGGCTAGTTGGCACTTAATTCTTTAAGAGACTGTAACTTTAATGATATTTTGCATTCAGTCCCTCAATATGTCCTGTATTACATTTTTATAATTATGGCATGTTTGTTGAGCACAGCATGTCAGTGTGATGGCACAGGCAGCTACAGCAGCATCTGCAGTTCACTAGGTGGTCAGTGTGACTGCAAAACTAATGTTGTTGGACGTCGATGTGACCGTTGTGCACCTGGAACTTATGGCTTTGGTCCGGAGGGCTGTAAAGCTTGTGATTGTAGTCCTGTTGGAGCTTTAGACAACTTCTGTGAGCAACAGACAGGTGAGAATCTTCTTGTGTGCTCTTTTCAGTATAGAAAATATTGAAAAGATGTCTGTGTAGTGAGTTCATTTATACTGAACACATCCCATAAGTTACTTTAAATTACATTTGTAAAATGTTCCTCTATATTACTACTACTTACAAGAAGTCATAAAATTAAGAGGTACTTGAAGTAGAATAAGAAAATTGAACCTAAATTTTGAAAATCTTGTGAATTCTTTGAGTAGGTGGAGTGTACATCTTAATTAAAAACAATGTAAAACCTAGAAGCATTAGTGTTTGATTTAGCCCAGTTTATTACTGTATATGATGATTTGTTACAAGACTTATTGTCAAGGAAAATCTAAAATGTATCAAGACTGAAAGCAAAACATAATAGGCTAACTGTTATTTCTTCTGGTAAACATATTCTCAACATTATCTGATTTATTTCATTCTGCATACCTCAGCATATTATTATAGGCTCTTGGTTTAAGGTCACCCTAAGAAAAAATATGTACTAGATCATGACAGAAATGTTAAAAGCAGGGGGAGACATAGTGTTGGAATGGTTGGTATTTTTGTTTAATAAATGGGAAGTACAATGCCTGCACTCTAAAGGAGGGGTTTGGGATATTGGCAGTTTGGAGAGATATATTGTGTATTTTTATACCTATTTACTTCTAAACTGTTGTATTCTGAGCACCTCTGCAAAAACAGTGATTATGTGTGAGTGAGGTGAAAGTGTTGAATGATGATGAAAGTATTTTCTTTTTGGGGATTTTCTTTCTCTTTGGGTCACCCTGCCTCGGTGGGAGACGGCCGACTTGTTGAAAAAAAAAAAAAAATGTATGAAAGAGGGAAAGGTACCTAGGGATTGGCGGAGAGCATGTATAGTCCCTTTATATAAAGGGAAGGGGGACAAAAGAGATTGTAAAAATTATAGAGGAATAAGTTTACTGAGTATACCAGGAAAAGTGTATAGTAGGGTTATTATTGAAAGAATTAGAGGCAAGACAGAATGTAGAATTGCGGATGAGCAAGGAGGTTTTAGAGTGGGTAGGGGATGTGTAGATCAAGTGTTTACATTTAAGCATATATGTGAGCAGTATTTAGATAAAGATTGGGAAGTTTTTATTGTATTTATGGATTTAGAAAAGGCATATGATAGTGGATAGGGAAGCAATGTGGCAGATGTTGCAAGTACAGTTGGACCCCCCATATACGATATTAATCCATTCCTGAGAGCTCATTGTATGCCAAAATTATCGGAAGGCAAATTAATTTTCCCCATAAGAAATAATGGAAATCAAATTAATCCGTGTAAGACACCCAAAAGTACTATGAAAAAAAAAGTTTTACCACATGAAATATTAAGTTTAATGCACACAAACTGAAGAAGACATGCACAGTTAGTAGTACTCTACTAACAATAGAATGTATGACACTTACCTTTAATGAAGATCTGTTGATGATTGATGGGATGGGAGGAGGGGAGTGTGTCGAACTTATTGTTTAGAAGGGAATCCCCTTCCATTAGGACTTGAGGTAGCAAGTCCTTTTCCGGGGTTAGGTAGCAAGTCCTTTTCCGGGGTTACTTCCCTTCTTCTTTTAATGCCACTAGGACCAGCTTGAGAGTCACTGGACCTCTGTTGCACAACAAATCTGTCCATAGAGCTCTGTACCTCCCATTCCTTTACGATTTGTCTAAAATGGGCCACAACATTGTCATTGTAATAGTCACCAACATGGCTTGCAATAGCTGTATTAGGGTGATTTTCATCCATAAAGGTTTGCAGTTCAACCCACTTTGCACACATTTCCTTAATTTTTGAAGTAGGCACGATGGATTCCACAACTGGCATAGGCTTCTCAGGGTTAGCCCCAAACCCTTCAAAATTTTTCTTAATTTCCATACTAATTCTCACCCTTTTTACCACAGGGTTGGCACTAGAAGCTTTCTTGGGGCCCATAGTGACTTATTTTGCAGAAACAAGCACCAAAAACACTGATAATATGGAATGTAGCGAATGTATGCTTAGATGCGAGCACGCTGGCTGGCTTGTAAACACTGGCACTCACATGGACGAATCGCGTGTGGCGGGTTTTTTAATGAGTGGCGAGGCAAAATTTTTTGCATTAAAATGTATTGAATACCGAATTTAACCCTTTGACTGTTTTCGACGTATAAATACGTCTTACGAGCCAATGTTTCTGACATATATATACTCAATAATTCTAGCGGCTTCAGATCAAGTGGGAGAAAGCTGGTAGGCCCACATGTGAGAGAATGGGTCTGTGTAGTCAGTGTGCATCACATAAAAAAAATCCTGCAGCACACATTGTGTAATGAGAAAAAAAAAACTCTGATCGTTTTTTTGGAATAAAACGCAGACTTTGAGGTGTATTTTCGTATAGTATTTATCGTTGTATTCGCGTTTTCGTGGTCTTAGGTGATAAAATGGAAAACATATTACAGAAATAGAGATGATTTTCATTACTTTGACAATGAAAACAACCTTGAAACTGAGCTCAAAGTAGCGGAAATGTTTGATTTTTACCAATGTTCAGGAGTAAATAAATCACACCACACGTCCAATACATGTCAACTGGGGAGTCTAATATTCTTTCACTAGTGCACTGATATTATTTATACCATTTTTACAATAATGCAGTAGTCTGCATAACAGTAAATTTTGTATTTTTTTGTATGAATAAAAAATCAAAATAGAAAGCAATAATAATATAAGAGGGGCCGAGAGATATGACTGATGAACAGAGCATATGTTATTTTAGTGCCACGAATGTCTACCTTGTTTATTCTGGACCCTATTTTGAAATTGGCATCTCTTTTAGTTTGCGTGAAATTGGCCAAATTGCCAATTTCTGACCACCATATTGGGTAGTCCAAATTAGTAAATGGGAGGTTTCTTGTACTTAGCTGATAGATAAAATGGAGTTCTAAAGAAATAGCTATGAGTTTGATCAACTGGAACAATGGAATTGGCTGAAAATAGGGCTCAAAGTCGGCGAAATTGCCGATACGCATATGTCGCCAAGACCGCTAACTTCGCGGGAGCATAATTCCATGAGTTTTCGACCAAATTTCGAACTTTTGGTGTCATTACCATCGGGAAAAGATTCTCTATCATTTCATAAGAAAAAATAATTTTTTTTTTTTTTTCAAAAATTGAGCGACATAGAATGACAGTTTCAGAGAGGGGCCTGAAACAGTCAAAGGGTTAATGTATACCAATGCCATCGAATACCGGGGGTCCACTGTATATGGAATAGGTGGTAAGTTACTAAATGCTGTAAAGAGTTTTTATGAGGATAGTGAGGCTCAGGTTAGGGTGTGTAGAAGAGAGGGAGACTACTTCCCGGTAAAAGTAAGTTTTAGACAGGGATGTGTAATGTCACCATGGTTGTTTAATATATTTATAGATGGGGTTGTAAGACAAGTAAATGCTAGGGTGTTCGGGAGAGGGGTGGGATTAAATTATGGGAAATTAAATACAAAATGGGAAGTGACAGTTACTTTTTGCTGATGATACTGTGCTTATGGGAGATTCTAAAGAAAAATTGCAAAGGTTAGTGGACGAATTTGGGAGTGTGTGTAAAGGTAGAAAGTTGAAAGTGAACATAGAAAAGAGTAAGGTGATGAGAGTATCAAATGATTTAGATAAAGAAAAATTGGATATCAAATTGGGGAGGAGTAGTATGGAAGAAGTGAATGTTTTCAGATATTTGGGAGTTGACGTGTCAGCGGATCGATTTATGAAGGATGAGGTTAATCATAGAATTGATAAAGGAAAAAAGGTAAGTGGTGCATTGAGGTATATGTGGAGGCAAAAAATGTTATCTATAGAGGCAAAGAAGGGAATGTATGAAAGTATAGTAGTACCAACACTCTTATATGGGTGTGAAGCTTGGGTTGTAAATGCTGCAGCAAGGAGGTGGTTGGAAGCAGTTGAGATGTCCTGTCTAAGGGCAATATGTGGTGTAAATATTATGCAGAAAATTCGGAGTGTGGAAATAAGAAGGTGTGGAGTTAATAAAAATATTAGTCAGAGGGCTGAAGAGGGTTTGTTGAGGTGGTTTGGTCATTTAGAGAGAATGGATCAAAGTAGAATGACATGAAGAGCGTATAAATCTGTAGGGGAAGGAAGGCAGGGTAGGGGTCGTCCTCGAAAAGGTTTTAGGGAGGGGGTAAAGGAGGTGTTGTGGGCGAGGAGTTTGGACTTCCAGCAAGTGTGCGTGAGCGTGTTAGATAGGAGTGAATGGAGACAAATGGTATTTGGGACCTGACGAGCTGTTGGAGTGTGAGCAGGGTAATATTTAGTGAAGGGATTCAGGGAAACCGGTTATTTTATATAACCGGACTTGAGTCCTGGAAATGGGAACAATGCCTGCAGTCTAAAGGAGGGGTTTGAGATATTGGCAGTTTGGAGGGATATATTGTATATTTTTATACGTATATACTTCTAAACTGTTGTATTCCGGGCACCTCTGCAAAAACAGTGATTATGTGTGAGTGAGGTGAAAGTGTTGAATGATGATGAAAGTATTTTCTTTTTGGGGATTTTCTTTCTTTTTGGGTCACCCTGCCTCGGTGGGAGACGGCCGACTTGTTAAAAAAAAAAAAATGAATTACAAAATCATGGCTCACAGTCCTATATCATTACCACATATAAATCATAAATGTTAAAGACTTCTTTCAGAAGAATAATGTTTGTTACTATTTAGCTTGCTAAAAAAATGCTGTAGCACCATACAGTGGACCCTCGGTTTTCATGATTAATCCATTCCAGAGAGTCTGATGAAACCCAGAAATCACAAAAACCAAAATAATTTTCCCCATAAGAAATAATGTAAATCCTATTAATCCATTTCAGACACCCAAAAATATTAAAAAAAATACATTTTATAGAGAATAACTATAGTTTTACATACAGAAAACAATGAGAAATACGTAAATATAAAGCACTAATGAAATGGATAAATGAACATTTAAATCACTTTTACCTTTATTGAAGAGTCTTATTGGCGTATGGAAAATGGCGAGGAATGGAGTGAGGGGTGAGTTTATTGTTTGTAGATAAGACAGACTGCTTAAATATGATGCTAATATCAACTCTACGGCTTATTTGTCTATCACAGTTCATCTGATATGACATAATAAACAATATTAATAACATAGAAACATGATGTATACTTAAGAATGAATAAAATATGTCATTACTTATGTGAGGAGTGGTGGTGGTGTTGGGTTTATAAAGGCCACTGACAGCATAAGCCGTACATATAGTGGTGTTGATGGCGGCGGCATTAGAGGCCACCACCACTATTCACACTGAAACAGTGTACGTAATTTATAAATAAGAAATATTTACACTTTATAAATGAGAAATATTTACACTTACCTTGGAGGAGATGCTGGCATTGGTTTAGGGTGGTGGAAGATACGTAGGGCAGCGTATCTTGTCAGTGACCCTATATACCTCCAACAACATTGGAGGAGTTAGTTTCATGTCCTTTTTCTATCTCTTAATTGCTTAACTTACTTGCTACACTTTATCACTGGCTGGCTTTTAGCTTTTATCGACTCCTGCTGCTTTAGTATTGTACATATCGTAGAATCACTGAAGAAGGTACATTCTCCCCTCTCTCTTGCTCCTCCACTTGGGTACTTTGCTACGAGTTCTTTCTTGAATTCTGTTGTGATTCTCACCTTCTTTACCATAGGGCTGGCACTAGGAGCTTTCTTTGGGCCCGTGGTGGCCTATTTAGCAGTCACATACAATAAACAAGCGCAAAAAAAATGGATTATTATGAAATGTTTCATATGACCTTGCAGAGCAACATTCACTCGCCGAGAAACAATGCCACACTGACTCAGAATGGTGTGTGGGAGGAGGCTTTGTGGGCACATGGGCACTCGGACATGTTCTGTACGCCCAACAAAACCAGAGGGAATTAACAAAAACAGATACTATATTTTGATGAAAAAAGTCAGTGATAACTGAAAATCACGAAATTAGAGGCTAACAAAAACAGAGGGTCCACTGTATTTGGTTGATAGTTCAAAGCCCCATTGCAAAAAATATCCTATTAGCTTTGAGAGCAAGTTTAATATATTGATAACCTGGCAGGTCAGTGTAAGTGCCGGCCAAATACATATGGTCGTCAGTGTGGCGAGTGTCAACCTGGCTTCTGGAACTTCCCTAACTGTCAGCGCTGTGAGTGCAATGGTCATGCTGACACTTGTGACTCCTACACAGGTGTCTGTCATCAATGTCGTGACAATACCACTGGACCAAACTGTGCCTTGTAAGTCTTGATTACATTAGGGAGCTATTATGTTTAGAACTGAGAGTGGAAACACACTGGAACATTATTAGAACATGAGTTCAGATATGGTGCATTTGAGAGCTGGCTATTAAATTTTTAAATGTAAAATTATAACAAATTACATTACATGCATGTTGTATAAATAATCAGTTAATACAAATAATGGAATAGGATAATGACATTTGTGCTGTACCTTGAATATACAATTTCCCACCAAGATATAGGATAATTTTTTTTATATGAAAATGTACTTAGATGTTGGACACAATATAATTTGGTACCACAGGCAGGCCCAGCTGCTTAACAGTGCTTCTTTTTATGGTGTTTCACTAATGCAGTGGTTTTCAATTATACCCATTCTTCACTTATTCTGACTTCGTACAATAAATATATTACTATTCACTATAAGCCAAAATGAAAATATTTTAAGGTAAGTAATGTATATACTGTATAAAACATTTTTTTAGGCCTACTTTTATTGTTCACTTAATATATGATAGTGTAAACATGTTATCAGGCTTTTATTTGCATTTGAAAGTGAAAAAAGGCTATGTTTCACTTTTGTTTCACTTTATAGCAATTTTTGCTTTAAAGCAGTATCCTGGAACCTAACTTGCTCTCTTAGTGGGGGCCTCCTGTACTTTTTTTTTTTCAACATGTTGGTTGCTTTTTACTGAGGCAGGGTGACCCAAATATAAGAAAAACCCAAAAAGAAAGAAAAAACTTTCAGCATCATTCAACACTTTCACCATCACTCATACATAATCACTGTCTTTGCACAGGCGCTCAGATACGACAGTTTAGACATCCATTCAAACTGCCAATATCCTAAACCCCTACTTTAAAGTGCAGGTATTATATTTCCCATTCCATGACTCAAGTCTGGCTAACTACTTTCCCTGAATCCCTTCACAAAATCTTGCCCTGCTCACACTCGAACAGCTCATCAGGTCCCAAAAACCATTTGTCTCCATTCACTTCTATCTAACACGCTCACGCACGCTTGCTGGAAGTCCAAGCCCCTCGTCCACAAAACTCCTTTACCCCCTCCCTCTAACTTTTCTGGGGATGACCTCTACCCTCCCTTCCTTCTCCAATAGATTTATATGCTCTCCAAGTCATTCTTTGTTCCATTCTCTCGGAATAACCAAACAACCTCAACAGCCCCTCTTAAGCCCTCTGACTAATACTTTTAGTAACTCTGCACTTCCTCCTACTTTCCACACTCCGAATTCTCTGCATAATATTTACACCACACGTTGCCCTTAGACATGACATCTCCAGCTGTCTCCTCGCTGCAGCATTTACAACCCATGCTTCACACCCCATAAGAGCATTGGTACCACTATACTCTTGTACATTCCCTTCTTTGCCTCCATGTATAAAGTTCTTTGTCTCCACAGGTACCTCATTGCACCACTCACCTTTTTTAATTTATTAATTCTTTGGTTTACCTCATCCTTCATAAACCCATTAGCTGACAAGTCAACTCCCAAATATCTGAAAACATTCACTTCTTCCCTACTCCCTCCTTCCAGTGTAATATCCAGATTTTCTTTATCTAAATCGTTTGATACCCTCATCACTTTGCTCTTATCTATATTCACTTTCAACTTTCTACCGTTACACACTCTCCCAAACTCGTACGCAAACCTTTGCAATTTTTCTTTAGAATCCCCCAAAAGCACAGTATCATCAGCAAAAAGTATCTGTATCAACTCCAATTTTGTATTTGATTCCCTATAATTTAATCCCACCCCTCTCCCCAACACCCTAGCATTTGCTTCTTTTTCAACCCCATGTTAAACAACCATGGTGACATACATCCCTGTCTAAGACCTACTTTTACTGGGAAGTAATCTCCCTCTCTCCTACACACCCTAACCTGAACCTCTCTATCCTCATAAAAACTCTTTACAGCATTTAGTAACTTACTACCTATTCCATATACTTGTAACATTTGCCACATTGCTCCTCTATCCACTCTATCATATGCCTTTTCTAAATCCATAAATGCAATGAAAACTTACCTACCTTGATCTAAATACTGTTCGCATATATGCTTCAATGTAAATGCATGATCTACACATCCCTTACCCATTCTAAAGCTTCCTTGCCCATCTGCAGTCCTGCTCTCTGTCTTACCTCTAATTCTTTCAATAATAACCCTACCATGCACTTTACCTGGTATACTCAGTAAACTTATTCCCCTATAATTTTTACAATCTCTTTTGTCCCCCTTCCCTTTATATAAGGCATTATACACACTCCTCCCCCTCTTTCATACAGCTATTAAACAAAAATACCAGCCACTCCAACACTATATCTCTCCCTGCTTTTAACATTTCTGTCATGATCCTGTCAGTTCTAGCTGCTTTACTCCCTTTAATTCTATGTAATGCCTCACACACCTTCCCCACACTCACATCCTGCTCTTCTTTACTCCTAAAAGATGTTATACCCCCCATGGCCAGTGCATGAAATTACTGCCTCCCTTTCTTCATCGACATTTAAAAGTTCCTCAAAATATTCCCACCATCTACCCAATACCTCCAGCTCCTCATGTACTAACTCCCCTACTCTGTTTTTAACTGACAAATCCATTCATTCCCTAGGCTTTCTTAACTCTTTTATCTCCAAAATTTTTTCTTATTCTCAGCAAAATTTCTTGACAGTGCCTCTCCCACTCTATCATTTGCTCTCTTTTTGCACTTTCACCACTCTCTTTACCTTTCTTTTACTCTCCATATACTCTGCCCTTCTTATATCACTTCTGCTTTGTAAAAACCTCTCATAAGCTACCTTTTTTTCTTGTATCGCACCCTTTACCTCATCATTCAACCAGTCACTCCTCATTCCTCCTGCACTCACCCTCCTATAGCCACAAACTTCTGCCCCACATTCTATTACAAGTGCCCAAACTTACGAGTTTTCCGAGTTACAAGCCGTCGCTCATTTGATTTTTTGCTTTGAGTTGCAAGTCAAAATTCGAGTTATGAGCGAGCTTCAGATACACCACCGCTAATTGGCGGTGTATCTGAAGTCAAATCCAACTCTGTACCCAGAGGAATGTCAGGTACTTTGTCCTATCCCACATGCTCTTCCAAGACATAACTGGAAGAATAATACTCCCACACTAATCCTAGATTGTAGTGAGGCACCTTGTCCCCTGTTTGGTTCTCGTATAAATCCGGGGAAGAGGTAACCTCCATTTCAACACTCAGTTTTTCCAGAAACATTAATTAAGGTGGGTGGAGTACTGATAGTGGTGGGTGGAGTAGTGATGGTGGTGGGTGGAGTAGTGATGGTGGTGGGTGGAGTACTGATGGTGGTGGGTGGAGTAGTCATGGTGGTCAGTGGAATAGTGATAGTGGTGGGTGGAATAGTGATAGTGGTGGGTGGAGTACTGATAGTGGTGGATGGAGTAGTGATGGTGGATGGAGTAGTGATGGTGGATGGAGTAGTGATGGTGGGTGGAGTAGTGATTGTGGTGGGTGGAGTAGTGATGGTGGTGGGTGGAGTAGTGATGGTGGTGGGTGGAGTAGTGATAATGGTGGGTGGAGTAGTGATAATGGTGGGTGGAGTAGATGTGGTGGGTGGAGTAGTGAGAGTGGTGGGTGTAGTAGAGATGGTGGTGGGTGTAGTGAAGGTCGTGGGGGAGTATACAATATTTCTCATTTATAAATACATTTTTCTTATTTGAAAACCTGTAACAAAAAAATTGGGGTGGTTTTTTGGGGGCTGGAATGGATTAATGGCATTTCAATTACAGTGGTACCTTGAGTTACGAACTTATTTCGTTCCAGAAGGCTGTTCGAGTGCTGATACCGAACAAATTTGTTCCCGTAAGGAATAATGTAAATTAGATTAGTCCGTTTCAGACCCCCAAAAATACACTTACAAAGGCACTTTCAAAAAATACACTTACATAATTGTTCGAGTTGGGAGCTGTACGAAACTTGAAGTACCACTGTAATTTCAATGAGGAAAATTGATTTGATATATGAGCAAATTTTAGGTAGTAGGTTGGTAAACAACAACCGCCCAGGGAGGTACTACCGTCCTGCCAAGTGAGTGTAAAACGAAAGCCTGTAATTGTTTTACATGATGGTAGGATTGCTGGTGTCCTTTTTTCTGTCTTATAAACATGCAAGATTTCAGGTACATCTTGCTACTTCTACTTACACTTGGGTCACACTACACATACATGTACAAGCATATATATATACACACCCCTCTGGGTTTTCTTCTATTTTCTTTCTAGTTCTTATTCTTGTTTATTTCGTCTTATCTCCATGGGGAAGTGGAACAGAATTCTTCCTCCGTAAGCCATGCGCATTGTAAGAGACGACTAAAATGCCGGGAGCAAGGGGCTAGTAACCCCTTCTCTTGTATAAATTACTAAATTTAAAAATAGAAACTTTCGTTTTTCTTTTTGGGCCTCCCTGCCTTGGTGGGATACGGCCGGTTTTTTTGAAAAAAAAAAAAAAAAGCAAATTGAATTAGGAGCTCGGTCACAGAACGAATTAAACTCCTAAGTCAAGGTACCACTGTACTGCATTTTTAAAACTATCTCCTCTGTCTTCATCCCCCCTCCCTCTCCACTACCCGTACTTGCCGTAGCCCACCTTTCTCTGGAAAACGTACAGAGGAGGATGATAAAGATGATCCCATGTATCAGAAATCTTCCCTATGAGGATAGACTGAGGGCCCTGAATCTACATTCTCTCAAAAGGCATAAAATTAGGGGGGATATGATCGAGGTGTATAAATGAAAAACAGGAATAAATAAAGGGGATGTAAATAGCATGCTTAAAATTTCCAGCCAAGACAGGACTCGCAACCATGGTTTCAAGTTGGAAAAATTCAGATTTAGGAAGGATATAGGAAAGCACTGGTTTGGTAATAGAGTTGTGGATGAGTGGAACAAACTCCCAAGTACAGTTATTCAGGTTAAAACGTTGTGTAGTTTTAAAAATAGGTTAGATAAATACATGAGTGGGTGTGGGTGGGTGTGAGTTGGACCTGACTAGCTTGTGCTGCTGGGTCTGGTGCCGTGCTCCTTCCTTGAGTGGAGATGACCAGACTGGGTGGGTCATTGGGCTAATCCGGGGGGGGGGGGGAGTCATTGGGCTAATCCGGGAGGGGGACACGGACCTGCTCCGCATGGGTCAGTAGGCCTGTTGCAGTGTTTTTTCTCTATGTTCTTATGTTCTGCCAAAAGTTACTTACATCTCACCTTAACTTCCTCCTCCCTTAGTTTATAAACATTCACCTCTGTTGCCATATTTTCTTTGTCTCATCTACTTCTTACTCTGACTGTGGCTACAACTAGATAATGATCTGATATATTCACCAATACATAATCTAACAAACTACTTTCATTATGTTCTATACCATATCTTGTATACTTATTTATCCTCTTTTTCATAAAATATGCATTACTTATTACCAAACCTCTGTCTGCACATAGTTCAATTAAAGGCTCCCCATTTTCATTTACCCCTGGCACCCCAGATTTACCTATTACTTCCTCTACAACATTTTTACCCACTTTAGCATTGGGATCCCCAACCACAAGTAATCTCTCACTTGGTTCAAAACTTCCTATGCACTCACTCAACATTTCCCAAAATCTCTCTCTCTCACCTCTACACTTCTCTCTTCTCCAGGTGCATAAACACTTATTATAACCCACTTTTCACATCCAACCCTTATTTTACTCCACGTAATCCTCGAATTTATATATTTATATTCCTTCTTTTCCGTCTATAACTTATCCTTCAACATTATTGCTACTCATCCTTCAACATTATTGCTACTCCTTCCTTAGCTCTAACTGTATCAGAAATCCCAGACCTAATTCCATTTATTTCTCCCCACTGAAACTCTCCTACCCCCTTCAGCTTTGTTTCACTTAGAGCCAGAACATCCAGCTTCTTTTCATTCATAACATCCACAATCATCTTTCTTATTATTCACACTACAGCCACACACATTCAAGCATCCCACTTTGATGGGTGTCTTCTTTTTCTTTTTAGTAGGCTATATGAGAAAAGGGGTTACTAGTCCATTGTTCCCAGCATTTTAGTTGGCTTTTACAACATGCATGGCTTACGGAGGAAAGATTCTTATTCCACTTCCCTATGGATGTGAAAGGAAAAGTAATAAGAACATGAACTGTTAAGATAAAATCAAAGAAAACTCAAATGAGTGTGTATACATAAACGTGTACATGCATGTGTAGTGTGACCTAAGTGTAAGTAGAAGTAACAAGATGTACCTGAAATCATGCATGTTTATGAGACAAAAGAGACACCAGCAATCCTACCATCGTGTAAAACAAATACAGGCTTCCATCTTAAACTCCTTTGGCAGTATGGTAGTACCTCCCTGGGTGGTTGCTGTCTACTAACCTACTGTATTATTGTATTAATTTATTTTGTACTAGTAGTTTAGTACTTCTTTAATACCAACCTAATAATAAAATATCAAGTATGAAATATAAATGCTTTTTATTGAGTATCATAAATTAACAGTATTTTAACTGAACACATTCATTTTCATCAGATGTGTGCAGGGTTTCTATGGTGATCCTCGCCTGGATGTAGGTATTGCTTGTAGGCTGTGTCCATGTCCTGGTACACGAGATTCTGGTCACAGTTTTGCTGCTCACTGCTCGCTTGACCCTCGAACCAAAGATGTTATATGTGAATGTGAAGAAGGTTATGCTGGTGAGTAAACGTCATTAGTGCAGTAGACAATATTGAAATTTCTAAACATGTATAGACAAAATAACTGAACAGTATATAGACAAAACTGTTATTATATGTTAGATTACTGTAATGTAAAAAAAATTGATAGGGTACGTGTCAATCTCTGAATCTTCTTCTTTCTTTCAACACACCGGCCGTATCCCACCGAGGCGGGGTGGCCCAGAAGGAAACAACAAAAGTAATCTCTGAATATCCTGTCTATATAAAATATGATACTGTAGTATATGTTGGACAAATATACAAGTGAGAAAGGATGAATTTCAGAAAGATTGCAGTAGGCCTACTTCATCTGTTTTCTATTACGTATATTATTATGCACAGTCTGAAAAAATAAGTGTTGGGTAGGCTTTGATTTCGGCTATCCAGGTCTGGATTTCATCTTGCAGAAAAACATATTTTTACTTTTATGGTTTTGGCTTTATAAGAAAAACAGCAGTTTATTCATATTGGAGTGCTGAGTTTGAGCTAGTGAAGTTTTGACTTAACAGGACATGAACTAATGGAATTTGACTGTAATACACGTGAATTTCAGGGTCACGTTGTGATGTGTGTGCAGACAATTACTTTGGCAACCCAGAAATACCAGGAGGTAGTTGCCGTTCCTGTAACTGCAACAACAACATTGATATTTCTCGCCCTGGTAATTGCAATGCTCGTACTGGAGAGTGCAACCAGTGTCTCTTCAATACCTTTGGCTTTTACTGCGAACGTTGTCAACCAGGCTTTTATGGTGATGCTCTCAACCAGCAGTGTAGAGGTTAGAAATTTTTTTTCCTTTGTTATTTTTTAAAAAATCCAAGATATATTTTTTATACCAATAATAGCAAGTTTTTTTTTTACTACATTTTGGTTTTATTAAGTGTTTCACTGTTTTCAAGTTCTATAGATAAAAGTAACATGATATATCTTTAAAAGATAAATATATTGCATCTGTATTTATATATACAGTAGAGTCCCACTTATACCCCAGGTTAGGTTCCAGGCTACTGCCAAAAATTGGAACACCCTTTTTTGCCACTTACAAATGCATAGAAATACTAGATAACAAGTTTACACTAACATATATTAAGTTAGCAATAGAACTAGGCATTAAAAAACAATAAAAAAGTAAAATACACATATAGTACACTCATTACTTACCTTAAAACATTTGTGGTCATAATCTAGGGTGAAATGAGTAGTATTTATTGTAAGAAATCAAGTATGGTTTGTATGGTAGCCAGCCAGGCTACCATACCAGGCCACCCCACTTACGCAAAATATTTTATGACATTTAAGTGTCCCAGAGCGATAAAATGCATGTACAGTTCACTCATAACTTACCTTAAAATATTTGTAGTCTTAATGTAGGGTCAGAAGTGAGTAAATGAGATTAAACGAATATATGAGAGAGAATGAGTACATGAGGGAGGACAGGCGTGGAGTTATGTAAACAAACCAGGTGGCTGTTTACCTGGAGAGAGTTTCGGGGGTCAACGCCCCTGCGGCCCTGTCTGTGACCAGGCCTCCTCCTGTGAGTTTTGTAAACAAACCAAACGAACACGTCTGGTTTGTGTACAAGTGAAATTGTGTACAAGTTGTTTCTGCGTTGATACGGTAGAATAAATAAAGAGAAACCCTCCCATTCTCATGTAACACCATTTTTAGAAGAAATGATGCTCTGAGTGAAGGCATATGAAAGGAATAATTTTCTACAGTTACCCCAGTAACACATTTTCTCTTATGTTGGACTAGAGAAAATGTTATTCTTTCCATCACTCATACAAATTATCTGGCTACCACATCTCATTTTTTTTCTTTTCCCAACAAGTTGGCCGTCTCCCACTGAGGCAAAGTGACCCAATACTTTCATCATTCAACACTTTCACCTCACTTACACATAATCACTGTTTTTGCAGAGGTGCCCAGAATACAACAGTTTAGAAGTATATATATATATAGAAGTACATATAAAAATACACAATATATCCCTCCAAACTGCCAATATCCCAAACCCCTCCTTTAGAGTGTAGGCATTGTACTTTCCATTTCCAGGACTCAAGTCTGGTTATATAAAATAACCGGTTTCCCTGAATTCCTTCACTAAATATTACCCTGCTCACACTCCAACAGCTCGTCAGGTTCGAAATACCATTCATCTCCATTCACTTCTATCTAACATGCTCACGCACGCTTGCTGGAAGTCCAAACCCCTCGCCCACAACACCTTCTTTACCCCCTCCCTCCAACCTTTTCGAGGATGACCCCCTACCCCGCCTTCCTTCCCCTACAGATTTATACGCTCTCCATGTCATTCTACTTTGATCCATTCTCTAAATGATCAAACCACCTCAACAAACCCTCTTCAGCCCTCTGACTAATACTTTTATTAACTCCACACCATCTCCTAATTTCCACACTCCAAATTTTCTGCATCATATTTACACCACACATTGCCCTTAGACAGGACATCTCCACTGCCTCCAACCACCACCTCGTTGCAGCATTTACAACCCAAGCTTCACACCCATATAAGAGTGTTGGTACTACCATACTTTCATACATTCCCTTCTTTGCCTCCATAGATAACATTTTTTGCTTCCACATATACCTCAATGCACCACTCACCTTTTTTCCTTCATCAATTCTATGATTAACCGCATCCTTCATAAATCCATCCACTGACATGCCAACTCCCAAATATCTGACAACATTCACTTCTCCCATTCTCCTCCTCCCCAATTTGATATCCAATTTTTCTTTATCTAAATCATTTGATACCCTCATCACCTTACTCTTTTCTGTGTTCACTTTCAACTTTCTACCTTTACACACACTCCCAAATTCGTCCACTAACATTTGCAATTTTTCTTTAGAATCTCCCATAAGCACAGTATCATCAGCAAAAAGTAACTGTGTCACTTCACATTTTGTATTTAATTTCCCATAATTTAATCCCACCACTCTCTCCTAATCACCCTAGCATTTACTTCTTTTACAACCCCATCTGTAAATATATTAAACAACCATGGTGACATTACACATTCCTGTCTAAGACCTACTTTTACTTGGAAGTAGTCTCCCTCTCCTCTACACACCCGGAAGTAGTCTCCCTCTCCTCTACACACCCTAACCTGAGCCTCACTATCTTCATAAAAATTCTTTACAGCATTTAGTAACTTACCACCTATTCCATATACTTGCAACATCTGCCACATTGCTCCCCTATCTCATATTTATGTTTATATATTCTACTGTGGGGTGTATTTATCATCTTTATATGTTACGTATCGTGTTTATTATATAATTTTGAAAAAATATCATAGATGGATTAATGAAAATGTGTATATTAACGTAATATACGACATTTAATGAGACTCGGTGATTATTGTTGAGTATTAATATTATCATTACTAATATGGTATCTTGAGACATAAGACACTCCTAGTGATTTTAATGTGTACCTACACGCCAGCACAGTGTGTAAATTTATTTAGGTACAGGTATACATAGATACATAAAATATGAAATAACTTTTAAAAACACTTGAAATTTTGGAGAGACGTGGTGCTTATGGAGCTCACGGAGAATGTAAACAAACCAGGTGGGGCATGGTGACCTTATTAGAAAGTCAGGTGGGAGGAGCCATATAGCGAGTTTTGGTCATTCATAGTAGTTTGAAATGTCTGTATTAGCAGAATGCCATAAAGCGTGACGCCGTAAAGCGGGGCCCTGCTGTATTGTATGTGCTCACCTATTTGTAATTATCCCTTATTTGTAGTTAAGGAATAGGGCTATAACAGTAGTGTATATTTTAAATTCTCAGTGGCAGTAGCCACTAGAAATTTAAATTCTATTTTTTTAAGGAGCACTGTATAGTACTCTGTTTTGGGACTCGTTTCATCCCAATTCTTTGTTTTTTGCTGTAAGACTAATACGTCTTTCAGGTATTCTGTAATCCAAGCTAGTACATACTGCGTGTCACCTTATGTTTCAGAATGTGTGTGCAATATCCTGGGTACAAATCAGTCCATTAGTGTATGTGATCATGAGACAGGACAGTGTCCATGTCTTCCCAATGTACTTGGCCTGGAGTGTAACAGCTGTGCTCCCAACCACTGGAAGATTGCTTCAGGTGAAGGCTGTGAGCCTTGTGCTTGTGACCCTGTAGGATCTTTCTCAGATCAATGTAATGAGGTGAGATTTATTTCCATTTGTTATTTGTTCACTTTAGAAATAATGGCAGATTATGATAAGGGTTAAATTGAGAAGGAAATAAATGATAAGATAACAAAGGGTGGGGGAATTTTGAATTTAGAATGGTGTATTATATATTTTTTTTTTGATTGACATTAAGCGTTGTTATTGACTTTTCCTTGTGTAAATATTACTGTGGTAAGATTTCTTATTTATTACTTCAATATTTGTAATCCAAATCTATCATTTCAGCAATATAGACAAGGCTATAGTCAGAGTAATTCAGTAAGTAGGAGTATAAGATTGAGAGCAAAACTAATAACTAGATCATGTAATATATTACACAATGGTTATGCTTACAATAATAAAACAGTGTTTTTCTTGTTTGCTTGAAATAATTCTCAATTGATCTTTAACTGTAACATGATGATAAATATTCCTCTTATATTTCACCGTAGGCAGTCTCCTTTTAACAAAAATTAAAATTAAGCACCGTGTATTAGGACATTGTTTCTTTAAGGAAATATTTAATTAGCAGTCTGGTAGCACTACATCAGCACCTTCAAACAGGCTTGGATGTGCACAACCGCTTTTCTTATTTTTGCCATATTATATTAATTTAATTTTTCTCTTATACAAAATTTTTAATTAAAGGTCATTCAATGTCGTCATATTAATCGTATACATTTGAAAAATAAGACATGTGCTACACTGGTATTTCTGAAACATTTTGCAGGCAAAATAATAGACAGTTGAAAAAGAGATTCTGAGGTGTTGAGTCTTTCAGCCTTGATTGCAGTGGAGAGGTAATTTTGAGTTCAATCCTGCTGTCCTGATAAAAGTTGTTCAGTTCATAGTGTTGATCACTTTAAAGTAGAGGCATGTTGATGGAGCTATAATTACTGGACCAGAGGTGAGGTGCAGTAGGCCATCTGGCCTATGTTAGGAAAATACATTGCAGATTCAGCCCTTCTCATACATAACACACCAATAATTAGTAGAGCAATGTTGAAGATGTCCTCTGTGCCAAGATACTGTGATGTTGCTGTATCAGACAAGTATTATATTTATGGCATACAATGATGACAATTAGATGGAAATCTCTTCTTTAGTATCTCTTCAGTATCACATACAAATGATAGTTTTGGAAATATATTTGCCTTTTTGTTATAATAGATTGTCCACTATCACTTCTATCATTTTGCTAATATGGACATTTCAGATTATGACCAAAACTCTTTAAACTGTAATGGATATGTTCTATTTTACCCTACAGTATATTATACAATTGAGGGTAAGGCATCAGCTGCTCTAGATACCATTTCAGGGTCATCCTCAGTGAAAAAGTCTAAGTCATTCAGTAAGTCAGTCAAATCATTCAGTCAAGTCAGTCATTCAGTAAGTCAGTCATTCAGTAAGTCAGTCAGTCACACAAACTCATGTTTACATCTTTTTATGTGTACAAAGTAACACTTCATTACGACCACAGGTTATCTCTTGTCTAATATCCATGTTTTCTTTGTTAATTCTAAGACTTAAATGCTTATACTTTTTCTTGCCACTCTCAGCAACACTGGTATGCCTACTGGGTGTCATGATTTGCTTGGCAGATACAAGATATGGTAATTAAAAGATCAAAACACAATTCACAAATACAGCTAGCTTATAGCAGAGAAGGAGAACTGGACACGTATGAAGTACGAATGGTGGGGTGGTGTTCGGGGGTGGCAGAGGATGGCAGGACATCTCCCCCGCTGATCCACAACAAGGCGGCCACTTGAGGAAAAGGGAATTTGTTTTTCCCTCCCGCAAACTGAACAGTGTTAAATTAATTTTACAAAGTGTTGTATAAAATTGTGCCGCAATTCTTCAGTCGTGCTATACCCAAATCGTGCCAAATAAACTCGTGTTAAATGACGATCTACTGTATATACCCTGATAATTATACTTGTGTGTACCTGTACCTAAATAAACTTACACACTGTGCTGGCGTGCAGGTACACATTAAAGTCACTTAAGAGTCTCTCACTAGTCTTGATGCCATGATAATGATAACAATAATTCTAATACTAATACCGTGGTACCCCAAGTTTCGTACAGCTCCCAACTCGAACAATTATGCAAGTGTATTTTTGTAAGTGCTTTTGTAAGTGTATTTTTGGGGGTCTGAAATGGACTAATCTAATTTACATTATTCCTTATGGGAACAGATTTGTTCGGTAACAGCATTCGAACAGTCTTCTGGAAGGAATTATGGCCGAAACTTGAGTTACCACTGTACTAGGGTACATTAAATGTCATATATTATGTTAATATACACTTCTTTTTTTTTTTTTCAACTAGTCGGCTGTCTCCCACTGAGGCACGGTGACCCAAAAAGAAAGGAAATCCCCAAAAAGAAAATACTTTCATCATCATTCAACACTTTCACCTCACTCATACATAATCACTGTTTTTGCAGAGGTGCCTAAATACAACAGTTTAGAAGCATATATAAAGATATGTAGCATATATAAAGATATGTAGCATTGGAGGCAAAGAGGGGAATGTATGAGAGTATAGTTTTACCAACGCTCTTATATGGGTGTGAAGCGTGGGTGATGAATGTTGCAGCGAGGAGAAGGCTGGAGGCAGTGGAGATGTCATGTCTGAGGGCAATGTGTGGTGTGAATATAATGCAGAGAATTCGTAGTTTGGAAGTTAGGAGGAGGTGCGGGATTACCAAAACTGTTGTCCAGAAGGCTGAGGAAGGGTTGTTGAGGTGGTTCGGACATGTAGAGAGAATGGAGCGAAACAGAATGACTTCAAGAGTGTATCAGTCTGTAGTGGAAGGAAGGCGGGGTAGGGGTCGGCCTAGGAAGGGTTGGAGGAAGGGGGTAAAGGAGGTTTTGTGTGCGAGGGGCTTGGACTTCCAGCAGGCATGCGTGAGCGTGTTTGATAGGAGTGAATGGAGACAAATGGTTTTTAATACTTGACGTGCTGTTGGAGTGTGAGCAAAGTAACATTTATGAAGGGATTCAGGGAAACCGGCAGGCCGGACTTGAGTCCTGGAGATGGGAAGTACAGTGCCTGCACTCTGAAGGAGGGGTGTTAATGTTGCAGTTTAAAAACTGTAGTGTAAAGCACCCTTCTGGCAAGACAGTGATGGAGTGAATGATGGTGAAAGTTTTTCTTTTTCGGGCCACCCTGCCTTGGTGGGAATCGGCCGGTGTGATAATAAAAAAAAAAAATGTAGCATATCCCTACAAACTGAGAATATCCCAAACCCCTCTTTTAACCATTTCGGGGTTTCGGACGTACTAGTACGTCTTACGCGCAGGGATTTTTGGCGTACTAGTATGTATAAATTCTAGCGCCGTCAAATCTAGTGAGAGAAAGCTGGTAGGCCTACATATGAAAGAATGGGTCTATGTGGTCAGTGTGCGCAGTATAAAAAAAATCCTGCAGCACACAGTGCGTAATAAGAAAAAAAAAAACTGTTTTTGGATTAAAACAGCGACTTTGCACTGTACTTTCGTATGGTATTTATTGTTGTATTCTAGTTTTCCTGGTCTCATTTTATAGAATGGAAGACATATTACAGAAATTGAGATGATTTTGACTGATTTTACAATGAAAAGTACCTTGAAATTGAGCTCAAAGTAGCAGAAATGTTCGATTTTTACCAAAGATCAAAAGTAAACAAATCATACTAAGCGTCCAATACACGTCAACTGGTGAGTCTAATATTCTTTCACAAGTGAGCCGATATTATTTATACCATTTCTACACTAATACAGTAGTCTGCATAACAGTAAATCTTCTATTTTTTTGTGAGAATAAAAATTCAAAGTGGAAAGCAAAAGAATGTAAAAGGGGTGTGGGAACATGACTAATGAACAGAGGAAATGTTGTTTTAGTGCCAGGAATGTCTTTCTTGTTTATTCTGTACTCTATTCGGAAATTGGCATCTTTTGAAATTTATGTGAAATTGGCAAAATTGCTAAATTCTGACCACTGTATTGGATAGTTGAAATCGGTAAATGGGTAGTTTCTTGTACGCATTCGATAGAAGAAATGGAGTTCTAGCGAAATAGTTATGATTTTTGTTGACTAGTACACTGGAATTGGCCAAACATAGGGCTCAAAGTGGGCAAAATCGCCGATGCGTAAACATCGTCGAGACCGCTAACTTTGTGAGAGCATATTTCCATGAGTTTTCCATCAAATTTCATACTTTTGGTGTCATTATGATTGGGAAAAGATTTTTTTTTTTTTTTTTTTTTTTTTTTTTTTTTTTTTATTTATAAATTTGGCCGACCCTTAGAATAAGTCTCTAAGAGGACCTGCTGACCCCCAAAGGGTTAAAGTGCAGGCATTGTACTTCCCATTTCCAGTAGTCAAATCCGGTTATATAAAAATTTTTCTTTCAACACATCGGCCATGTCCCACTGAGGCGGGGTGGCCGAAAAGGAAAAATGAAAGTTTCTCCTTTTATATTTATTAATATATACAGGAGAAGAGGTTACTAGCCCCTTGCTCCCTGCATTTTAGTCGCCTCTTACAACACACATGGCTCACGGAGGAAGAATTCTGTTCCACTTCCCCATGGATTTATATTTTTTTTTTTATTATCACACCGGCCGATTCCCACCAAGGCAGGGTGGCCCGAAAAAGAAAAACTTTCACCATCATTCACTCCATCACTGTCTTGCCAGAAGGGTGCTTTACACTACAGTTTTTAAACTGCAACATTAACACCCCTCCTTCAGAGTGCAGGCACTGTACTTCCCATCTCCAGGACTCAAGTCCGGCCTGCCGGTTTCCCTGAATCCCTTCATAATGTTACTTGCCACACTCCAACAGCACGTCAAGTATTAAAAACCATTTTCTCCATTCACTCCTATTCAAACTCACTCAGCATGCCTGCTGAAGTCCAAGCCCCTCGCACACAAAACCTCCTTTACCCCCTTCCTCCAACCCTTCCTAGGCCGACCCCTACCCGCTTCCTTCACTCAGACTGATCACTCTTGAAGTCATTCTGTTTCGCTCATTCTCTCTACATGTCCGAACCACCTCAACAACCTCCTCAGCCCTCTGGACAACAGTTTTGGTAATCCCGCACCTCCTCCTAACTTCCAAACTACGAATTCTCTGCATTATATTCACACCACACATTGCCCTCAGACATGACATCTCCACTGCCTCCAGCCTTCTCCTCGCTGCAACATTCATCACCCATTCATCCCCATGGATATAAGAGGAAATAAAAAAGAACAAGAACTAGAAAGTGTAAGTAGAAGTAGCAAGACATACCTGAAATCTTGCATGTTTATGAGACAGAAAAAAGATACCAGCAATCCTACAATCGTGTAAAACAATTACAGGTTTCCGTTTTACACTCACTTGGCAGGACGGTAGTACCTCCC